CGGTGAATATATAATGATCGTGTTCATTTTATTATTTCATAGCCGATATGCCTATCGTTTATCCGGCGCATTGTAATGATAATGTATTCGTGCGTACCAATAACTATTTAACGTGTTGATGCACGCGAACGCGTTACAAAGTGCGCGCACGACACGTATATTATGATGAAATGTAGAGAACAAAGCGCGAAAAGAAAAAATAAATAAATAATGATGATCAAACGGCGTGACATTAACACTAATAGCCAACGTGGGCGACGATTCTTGCGATTTATGCGCTGTAATGTAGGAAATAAAGAATGAAAACTCGCGCGTGGATTCGAATGTACAATACTATGTATTATGATTGTCTACTTGTTTGTATAAGAGACGCGTACACGCCAGGGGTGGGTCTAGACATTTTTAACGATGGGGAGGGGATGCATAACCATTTATATACAAGTATGATATATATATATGGTAAGCTTCAGGAACAAAGATAAATGTTATAACAATTAAAGGAATAAAATAACATAATATCAAATATAATAATATATTATATTATTATTATTATTATTATTATTATTATATTATAACCTTATAAAAACCTACATAAAAGCCAACCTTGTCAATTTTTCTTCTCCAATTCTTGCCCTTAATCAAGTTCTAAGTAGTCTTCAAGACGAAAAACTTCTCTATGCTGTTATAACTAAAATTGACAGTCTAATTAAATAATTTTTATTACAGTACACTGTATAATATTATCAACTGATACAAAATTCAACACGATAAATAAGTTATAACACGGCGTGTAGCTTGTATGTCCAAGAAATTACAACCCATTCTGTGCGGTATAAATTGTTTATATTATTCTATTGGTAGGCAAAATGTTTAGGATTTGTAAATAATCAATGAAAAATGAATTAATAGTCTTTTTTTGCCAAGTGTGAAAAAACTTTGGGGATTTGGGGGATCACGCCTTTTTCGTCTCTACGGATCCTCTCCTGGTACACGCATAATATATTGCAGATATATAGAGTGGTTTTAATTTAAGTTTATCAATTATTTATATCCAAGATAGTTCCAAGAGAGTATGATAATTTTGTAACAACATTTTTGAAAAACTTTCACATTGGATGTAAACCTGTGCTTTGTGGCTTGTTTTCTTTTTGTTCTTATTGCAAAAATAGAATTCAGAGTTTATAATGTTTGAACGGAAACAAATTTCAACATTAATTAATTAAATTTTAATATTTTTATTGATCCAGATATATCTGTGAACTCATATGATGCAAATATTGTTTGCAAATATAACACCGAAAGAACGATTCGATCAATTTAAAGTTAGTACCAGGTGGAACGGATAGGAAAACAATATTAATTTCTTATCCTTTTTTAAGCGACCTTTATTATAGCAGTCAAAACGAGTTACTAATAAATGGTGTTTAGTGCCCGTTAGCTTACACGTAGGTACGCGCATTGGGCGTCGGGATTATAATCGTTCACCGTTAGGAAACAAAATGTTGATATCGTGTTCGCAGATAGTATTGCGTTAACAAGGGAAATGACGTGATAACAATGTCGAAAAATGAATAACCCCTCCGAAGCGGAGAATATTTTCTCCGGCGTGAACTAAAAGCTACTACTAGTTATTAAAAACGCGTGCGGTCTGTGTAGATGTACGTATAAATATGTAATCATACATGAAACACGTCGGACATTGCGCGCAACGGTACGATTGTCGGTAAAAATCGCTGGAGAAAGATGAAAAACAAGAGGCGGCAAAAGAATGCGAGAGAGAGAGAGTGAGAGAGAGAGTATACAATTTAGTAATACGAATGACTCGACCGTTAGGGCCACGTCGGTGAGGGTTGCCACCGAATCGATATCCGTCGGGTGAGTCATCGCGTCGACGGCGACCAGGGGAGGAGGGTGCATTTATCGTTTGCACGGCGTGCGTGCCCTTCGGACGGCGGATCAACCTAGTAGCGGGACGAATGGTGGAAGGAGGGTGGTAGAAATGGGGGTGGCGTGGGCGTACGAGAGGATAGGACGGAAACAATCGCATGATACACGAACTATCGATGTGGCGGTGCAGCGAACAATCGAGCGATTCCGCGCGGGTTGTTGGCGCAAGGGACAGGGCGACAGCGCACGGCGGCAGCACACGGCATCGGGCCGCCGAGTTCAGCGTTTGCGTGGTGTGCGTTTGGGTGCGCGGCCGACGGCTATGACATGAACGCCGGCGAATCGTACAAGGTGCTCGTGCTGGGCGACTCGAACGTCGGCAAAACATGTCTGATGCACAGGTTCTGCGACGAGACGTACTACGACACGTACATATCGACCATAGGTGAGTGTTGTGTAAGCTTGTGTTCATCATCCACCATATCGGTGGCACGCCGAGTCCTTTGAAACGTGTGGTGCAATTCGCATCAGTAACCGTTTTTTCGACGTTTTGACCTGTACAGCTTGGCCAGAATAGCAATTTCAGGGTTGTATTTACTGTTAGGCAGGATATGCAAATGCCCTATTACAGGGCATTGGACCTTTTTTTTTTTTTTAGAATACAACTATTATCGCATAAATTCTCAAACCCATTTATTGTTTAATCTAACCCCCGAAATGGATAAGAGTTAAATAAGTCATTTCACGACATTTCCATTATTTATTAATTTTTTCTTGATAACCATTAAGTTTTTTCGAACACAAACGTTTATTTACTATTCTAATCGACGCGAACCCCGGATCGTGAAAACATATGTCATAATTACAATGCAATTATACTTCAAAGAGAAAACGCAATTTCCCCGTAATTTAAGGTAGATACACGCAATGATTAAACTTTATAGTTGTCTGGTACAAAAAAATTGTTTTATCAGAATAGGGGATGGGGTGATTCATTATTAATAACACAAAGGCAATGTTCTTTTCCGCTTGAAATATACTTTATGAGTTACTTAACTAACCCACAAACTGTAATATTATCAAATACAATTGAATTAAATTAGAATTATACAAATTACTTTTACTTTTCTTTATGGGCTTCTGTTTAATTATTGCCATTATAGTAATTGTCATTGTGGGTATAGTGTATAATTTTATTATTGTTTTATTATACAAATGAAGTATTTAAAAATTAAATTGAGATCAATAATAATTAATATACACTATACAGTTAATACTTAATTGATTGATTACAGTTCTCACAATATTATGTAGTAAAATTGTTAATTTCGTTGTAGAAAGAGAGGGTAGGTGTTAACAGATTTCATAAAAACAGACAATTTTCAAAATAGATTCATGCCGTGAAAACGCTCATCGATACTCAATTCAAGTTGCTTTTTTCTTATCATGATTTCATTCCTATTATCAATGCACAGCGTGATGAGTAAAAGTTTTATTTATAATAAATTTATATCAAAAAAATACTTAGCATTCATACACCCTAAATATTTACGTTTTTTTCCGTGTTTATACTTCATATGTACAAAAATATCATTATTCTTATCACGCAGTAGGAAGCCTTTGGACATTTAGGGGCGAGAGTAGTGATTGCGACGTGCCTTTTTTTGAGTCACGCGTCTCAGATGTTATTTAGCATCGCAATCTACCCCGGTTGTGGCGCCACTGAGTGCACGCGTCGTATTCATTTATGCATCTGTATGTATGTTCAACCGAATAACATACCATCCAAAGCCGCCGTCCACCCTCCCTCTGTCTATATTTAGGTGGTTCATTTGAAAGTACGTACTCGGCGCCACCACTACTATATGCTTAACACAGGTGGCGGCTGCTATTTAAGGGCACGCGATACGTGACTTTAAACGTATTTTTGGAAAAATACGGTCCGCTAACCGAATAATATAGTTCTATTTCACTACCGTTTTTTATGCTCAAAATGTATATGATTTCGTAGTCGACGGCCAAGTACCTTTTATCCTAAATCATGCGTCTCTGCGATCTTGTCGCTTTCTGCGTTTTTTTTTTTTGTTCGTTTTCATGATTAGTTTAACGGGCGAACTGCACAGTGCGAACATAACATGACCAGACTTGAATTCAACCGGAATACACTCAATCATAATGTGCACGCGATAACCGCTCCGTACACGTATTGTTGTTACGTTGTGTATGCGTCATTGTAAATGAGCAACTAGAGCACGGGATCCCGTTTGACCTACATAAACGTGTAGAAGGTCGCAATGCTGTTTATTATTTTAACGTGTAAAATGTACGTGTAAAAAAATATTTAATGTTGAATGACGCGATATCATCCTTCGGATGAACCGAGTGTACGAAGAACGGTTGTTGCATTAAACGCTAAACCGTAGTAGTTCTCGTCCCGATTGTACAATATAACCGTTATATCATATTTTCGAGGGTTTTATCGCCTGAAAGTCGTAACGTAATTTGGTCAACATCCCGCTAGGGATCACGAAGACGAACGTGTCTGCACACCTCGTGTTATACTTCAAATCGTGTTGATGTGTGTATGTGTGTGTGTGTGTGTGTATTAAATATACGACACGTATAGTATCGTCCCTTGCGGTTAATCGTGTACGGTAAACCGATTACGAGTGGAAAACGAATTTTTATACCCATTTTAATACAAATCATTTCATAAATATTATAGAAAAATATCTACAGTATAGTTCGGTGCAAGTCCTTTAATGTCATTATTTTATTCCTAACCATATATTATTATTTTATATATAACGCTGTACAAATAACTGCTATATTTTCGTTTTGTTTACGTTGTTTAATGCATTTGCCATTAATTTGATGTTTGTTTTCTACTTAATAAATTGGTACTCGCGTTTATCAGTTCGTTGATGATTTTATTAGCACTCCATACGTGTGTAGGTACGTGTAATCCGCATATCAGTGAAGAATGAACGATAACGGTTTTTATTCGTTTACAACTGTTATTATATAAATGTTCGTAACGCCGTCAAGGCAGCGCAAAAAGATTAGCCTGCTAAACGTGTAAATCACATTGTTGCACAAGTAAATTTGAAGTGAGTCACGGTATAATGTCGCCGAGACAATTGTGATTCGGGCAACCGGAAATTTATATCTTACAAACAATTCACGTGTTTTGTCTCAAAATGTAATGTATTATTTTTAGCAGAGTAAATTCTGCACGATTTTACATTATCCCTTAACTATAAACCGGACATCAATTTTTTCTATAAAACGCGTCCATTGCACACTGAATGGATAAAATTATATTACACGTTTCTGACATAACTTATATGCTAAAAGGATATATGATACGTAATAATATTTGTTGTTCTATCGATTTTCAGATAACAGTAATAATAAATAATAAATAATCTTACCATTGATGTTTAATTTTGATTACAGGAGTTGATTACAAACAAAAGATTATTCAGCTGGACGACAAACCGGTTAAGTTACAAATATGGTAAGAATAAAATTTACGCATTATAGTTATACCATAAAAGTGGCATAACTAAACGATACTTACGTTTAACTACTTCATGGCAGTTTACTAGCAGGTCTTATTTTAATGGGCAGTACGACCCAAATTTAACAGTAGGAAAAATCAAAAGAGAAGTGGACTTTATGAATATGGGCACCTTACAAAAATAAAATTTTCCATATAGAATGATTGAATTTCTGCTGAGTATTTGAAATTTGTGTAATTTATAAACCCAACCTAGTACCTAATAAGTTATAATTATGTAAGTTTACAATTTACTACTTCTACTACTATCTTCTACTACTTCGAAGATTGATTAATCTATGAAATTTAAATTTAAATAGTGGTAAAAGATACGTATTTTTTTTAATATTTTACCACGCGATGGTAAAAATTCTAAAATATCAATATACAATTTATTGGGGGGGGGGGGGGGTGAGTATTATAATCCAAATAAATTTTATAAAACAAAATTTTCAGTGTATTTGAGCAGTAAGTAAAAAGCTAAGTAAGTAATAAGCCCTGTTTACTAATACATTATAATATTGTATTAGGTACGTCGGTATTATTTAGATAGCATTTTCAATTGTTGCAGTTTTCGGGCCAAACTATACTATCTTGACACAATACATTTATCATCAACGTACAACTATACAGTACAATTAAAGAGATACTGCTCTGAAATTCCGCTTAAAAATTCATTTGAGTGCGGTAATGTAGAATGTTGATGAACGCACAATAAAACTTTATGTATCTATATTAAAATATTATTCATCTCTGATACAATTTTAATAGTTGGCATGCAAGGTAATTTGCATACATAATTTTTAACGTTGAATGAGCTATTTGAATAAGAATAAATACTATAATAATAAAACCAGTTAGATTATGTTACTATAACAGGGGTTACTATTATCAAGTAAATAAATATTTATAAAATATGTTTAATTTAAATAAAAAAAAATAAAAAAAACTATTTTAGTCGTTGGCTGCCATTTTGAACTGATTTCATTTTCAAGAATAGTGTAAATATTTAAGAAAAAAATATTATCCTAATTTTGTTCAAATATTTGATTTTTGGGTTTTTATTACTTTATGGATCGATTTATATATTTCACTAAACTAAATTATACTTTAAATAATTCAATTATGCACGAAAAAAAGTGAAATTTTAATTTAGATATTCTAAAAAATGTTGTATAATTATACAAAACCAACTTACTGAAAAAATTATTACTAACTGTATATATTAAAATTACAAATATAAATAGTTTTTGGGTAATATATAATTTATTTTAATTGCAATCAACGGTTTTCATTAATTATATTCGACGTCATTAGCAAACGTCTACAAATAATTGACATTGAGTTAATATACTTAGAGGCAAGGGAGGATGACAGTTTCAGGAGTTCTACTAAATGACATAATTTATTGTTCTAAATTTGCATATTTCATATTTTCAACCGATATATACACGAATGAAAATACTATCTATTAGTCTAAGATATACAAATACAATATTAAAATAGTATATTTTTTGTATACATACAAAATTATAATGCATAAAAGGAAATATAAAAATTATAATAATATCATTATTTGCAAAATTAAATAAAATATTCCAAAATTTAATTATTATAATTAATACGAGAAAAATTAATTTGATTGATGAATGTACTTATACTTATGTATTTATACATTTATCAAAAATTTATTCGGTTCGTAATTACATTTTATAATACAATATTTGCGTTTTAACCTTAAATGAATAATACATGTTAACTGTCAAATAAGTAAAAAATATTCAAATTCACAATAACATAGATAAATTTAACTAAGTTGCATACTTTTCCACTTAAAAATTATAAAAACCTCAGTTTTTCTAGGTTTGTTTTATATATATAAAAAAAAACAAAACATAAAATTACACAATAAAACGCAAACAAATAATATGTTCATTCATACAGTGTACATACATATACAGAATAGAAACTATATAGCTGTATGATTCTGATAATCTTCCGCAAAAACAATAAAAAAACTAAATTAACAAAAGAGATAAGTTTATAAAATGTAATAAACGTATTAAATAGTACCTATATTATGTAATAAATATAATGATTTTACTGAAATGTAATCTATAATAAATTTATATATATATTTGTTTTCGTTACCGATATTTCTAGTTTTGAGAGTTTCGTGTGCATTTATGTCAATGACGACAATATAATTATTTACTATTATACTATTGTTCTAACAATGTCTCAATAAAAGTTAAAAAAAAAACAAATAAATAATTACATTTTTATTTATTGTTACTTGAATACATTTACACGCTTAAATAATGTATGCATCTTAAATTGTGTAACTATTTTCTAAGAACACTAACAACAGATCCTATTCGCAGTTAGTAACAATGTGCAAGTGTTCGTTTTAGATTAGATACATATTTAAAATTTCACTAAGATTGCCATTAAAGCCTTTACGTTAAGTATATGTAGATAAATCGATTTCGCATATCACAAATTAAATATTGACTTTATACACTCGGTTCAAAATATTTGAAGTTTAAGCTAAAGGGACGTCAAAAGTGAAATATTTATATAATGAGGTTGTGCCTACTTTCGATTTAAGTACTAAAAAGTCCCATAGAATGCACACACCTCCATAGAATTAATAAAATGCCTACCTAAATTTACGGTGTACACTGAGTCATTGTTGGAAAGTTAATAATCATCAATATCGGATAACGAGTATTTATGTTTAGTCTGCAGCCAAGTATATTTTATGTCTATACCTTTGTATGTGTAATTGAAAACTAGAACTGTTGTTACCTTATAGCTCTGGAACTATTTATTCAATCGTAATGCTATGTTTTTAAATTATAGAGAACATTGTTCCGCGGATTTTAGGCATAGATACTAGAGCCAACCAGCAACAAATAATTCTGATGTCAATTTGATAAATAGAGAATAACTAGCATTATTTGGTTGTTTGATATTAATTGTTGGCTTTAGTTCTTCTCGGTCGGGTTTGACGATTTTTCGTGATAAAAGCTTGTCACACAATACTCAATAGGAGAAAATCAAACATCGATTTTCCGACAAATTGTGTCGAGAAAATGCGCGCGTCCCGGTACAGTCATGCGTGCGAGAACGCTAACAGCAATAACATTAATAACAACGATGACGGATATGGAATGAAAATGTGGGCGAAGAAATTAATGACGACTTTAACAATAGTACAAACGTGTCATATTTCCTACAAAGCTTAGCTATAACACCATCAATAGCAGATACAGGGACAGTAATTGTAGGTCGCAGGCGAAACTTGGTAGTATTTAACTAGTTAAACTGTCCATAAACTTGAGCTAAATACACTATCGGAGATCTTGTTAGTTGTGATCGGTGGTTTTTTTTAATCGTAGAAATCAAAAAGCGTGCTTCACGGTGAAAAATAAATACGTTGTAAATTCATGCGCGTTGACTTGTAAATATTATGGGATACTAACGAATAATGATACAATGCTATATCTTAATATTTTATCACACTATGTCAGTGGCCTAGCTAGGGTGATGGGTATATTTCCCTCCTTGAATTTTTTTATTGGTGTTGTTTGAAACACGGTTAAAACCTATAGCCGATAACTAATGAAATAATACAGTATATACACATGATATTTTTAAATCCCCCCTCCCTCTTAATTGAGCTCCAATATCACTACTGCACTGAGTGCGGTTGTTGTTTTTACAAGTCCATTGATTAATCCGTTCATGATATGAACAATCCACGTTATGTGATTATCATTACAGAGTGGAAATGTGCATTATACGAAAAAGCAATGACGTACCTATATGATAATAATATATTATGTTATACAAAGGGACACCGCGGGACAAGAGCGATTTCGAACTCTGACAACAGCTTACTATCGAGGCGCCATGGGTATACTGCTCGTGTATGACGTCACGAATTTGGACTCCTTCGACCATCTAACGTACTGGTTGAAGAACATTCAAGAAGTGAGTGCACGTGATGTTCATGTACCGGATTGGGAGCGGAGGAAAAATCATATACAAATTTAAAACAACCGCGCCCGCCGATTAAGATTTATATTAAATTTTGTACGAATCTGGGTAACGAAATTGTATGACTAAAAACTTTTCAATTTATGTTCCTAAAATTACTTTGATTGCGGTACAAAACACGTATTTTTTTTATAAATACGCAATTGCAATTGAATATAGTTAATAGAAAAAAATCAGTTTTATTTAAAATTATAATGGTAAAAAAAAGTATATATGAAAATTTAATCAGTTACAGCTCTCATTGTTTTTTTAGTCTTATTTTCTCAATTTTTACCAATCATCAGTGTACACATTTAAAAAATGAAAATAAAAATATTTTATTCGTTATTGAATTAATATTCTCAACGTACTATAGTGCACTGGATGATTGGAACAAAACTATGCAATAGTAGCAATAAATACGCTCTATTAAATAACAAATAATATGCATTAAATATGCAATAAAAATCAAGAAATAAAAAATATGCAAGATATGTCAAATAAAATAATAATAAAATAATATTTTAATGATAATGATTTAAACATATGTTGTGCACATATATTATCAGGTTTCAATATATGGGTTCCAATAAATGCATTAATTTACGTATCATATGAGTCGTCCAGTTACAAAAGGTAGTGTGTCCATATTTTAGTTGCAAAAGGGAATATGTCCAATTTTAAATATAAATTATTTAAAAAACTACTTATCCACGATTTCTATAGTCTAAAAAAAGTAAAATGTTTTTTTTATATATATTTATGAAAAAAAAAATGGTGACGTTTTATAAAATATTAATGGAAATATCAGTTTTTTGCTGTTTGTGAAAACTTTATTTGTTTGGACATACTACCTTTTGCAACTGGACGACTCATATATTCATTGGTCAATTGTGACGTACTATATGTCAATATTTGTGTGTGTGTGCGCAGAACGCTTCTCCGGATGTCATCAAGGTTTTGGCCGGTAACAAATGTGACAACGATTCCTTAAGAGCAGTGGACAAAGCGGACGGAGAAAAAGTGAGCACAATCATAATTATAATATTATTTTACATACGTTCGTCGAGTTTTCTCCGCTGAACGTGAGTTTGTAATATTCAAGCATTCCTGAAACGATACGTATTCGACTGGACAACTGATGAATTAAAATATTGTGTTATTGCAGTGGATCCCAAGCTTTTATATTCTATGCCTCCTAATAAATTTTTATAAATCTCACTTCCCCCTCCTCAAATTAGACTTAAAGAACTACTGAGTTGTAGTGTTATTTTTTTTTTAATTATTATTTTTTTTTGTTGTATTTTTTTTTTTTTTTTGCTATTACGCACACCGGTATTATTATGTGTGGAAATAAAAGTAAACGAGGCATTTTATGCGATTGTTAAGAAAATCCATAAGCCAAACATTGGCTTTTTAAGAGGTATTAATTTTTTCGTGATCAAAACGATAGAAAATCGATTTTGAACGTATTTACAAATAAAACTAAATGTTTTGCGGAAGTTCAGGTGTATATTGAATATGAACGATTTTCTGCGACTTACTTTGACCTAGATTTTATCTACATTGTAATCTATACAGATCAAAAAAACAATTGATAAACATATAAAAATATGTTATTGACAACCACTCGAACGAGCTGCAGTTATATTGTTATTCGGAAATATTAGTCTATTTCACAATATTTAAACTGAAGGTTTTCAGATAATACACATTGCATTACTTTCGCAACCTTAATGGATTTTTACATTACTTTAGATAGCTGAATGCTACGACATGCCGTTTTTTGAAGTTTCCTGTAAGATGGACGTCAACGTCGAAGACGCGTTCCAGGCGTTGGCGAAAATGATCAAAGAACGTTCCAAATATGCGGTAATTTTTATATCTACGAACCCGTGCACAATCTATTTATCAATTAACAGTGCTTGCATTAGCAAGGGTATAGTAAGAGAGCAAAGTAAAGATGCTTCGCTTTCAAGTTTTCGCTGTGCCCTTACTAATCGATCTAATTAAAACGGGAGAGACGATTTACAATTTCTGGAAACGTTTACTGTTTTTTTAATCTTGTAACTTAAAATTGTCCAATCCGAGCACTGTCTATTTTTAAATATACGAGTAAATATTTATCTAATTGATTTACACGTACATTGCAGGGAGCGTTTGGATTAAGAGACGAGACGCCCAGGGAGAAATGTTCACCTCTTTTCGAAAAATCTTTTGCTGAATCCACACGGAAGTGCAGTTCCTGCTAATACCAATATAATATTATTAAAATAATTGTTTTGCTATTCATGTTTTATTAAAAAAAAAAAAAAATAAACCCAAAAGCGTAAATATTATAATAATATGTTGACCGGGTGATTATTTATGATGCTGAAAAACTGAATTAATTGTTATATTATACGCTACAACAATATGGTCAAAGAAACAGAAAATATTTACACAATTATTTTGTTATGTATCGTAATGCACAAAAATGGATATCTATATCATTTAAGAAAAAAAATATATACTTACCGTAGTATGATAATGTAAATTACTTTCCGTGTACGATCGAAAAAATCTAAAATTAATTTTAAAAGTAATGCGATTTGTAACGATTAACATGCGCAAATGGGGTGTGTCAACTTATGACAGGGTCAGACACTTCATTATTGTCATATTAATATAACATTTAAGTGTATACATGATTTTAAAACGGCTTGTAGAAAGAAGAAAAATGTATTTACATAAAAACGATATTTTATATTAAAACTATACTTAATAATAATAGATCTACCTATACAAATCATTCACATTTTACCTCTATTGATTTATATCATTTACATATTTTTACCATATTATTATTAATATTATACATCTATATTTTTTTTCTGCGAATAAACATGTATTTTTTCAAAATTTCTATATCCATTTCATATTGTATACCTAAGATAAATTATATTATTTATCTATTTTAATTTATTTAATTGATAAATTAAATACATTGGAAATATACATTTAAGATAATCATTACTTAATTTACATATTTTAATTTATACACATGTCAGAAATATAAAAAGAAGTATACTTCTCTTTCCTAGTATACTAGGAAATGTATTAATGTCTATGAATATAATATCGTATTGGTATTTCATAAACTATAAAAAATAAGTAACATCACACAATTTAAATTAAAAATCTTATAAGATTGAATTGTAATATTTTGAAAATGAAAATAGTTTTCTATTAGGTCTCGAGAAATGTATTGATCTTACTATAAAATATAGGTGTTTTTATATTCTGTATGCATAATTTCGATCAGAATTACTTCGATCATAACCGAATAAAAAGTAAAATATAGGAAATAAGTTCAAAGTTATAGTTGATACGTTGACGGAATTATTCTTTTTAATGTTTCGAAAACTAACGAAATGTTAAAAAAAAGGCAATAAATTTAGCATACGAGTTTTAAATAAAATCAAATTTATGTTTTTATTATAACTCATAAATTTGATTTTAACTAAAATAATTTTTATTATAACTCAACAACTTAAAATTAATAAATTAACAAAAAATAAAATAAAAATTAGTAAATGGTTAATACTTGTAAATTATATAAAAATAAAAAGCTTATGTATATATATATAGAAATAAGTAAATAAATGCTTAGTTTGGAGTATTATTATATTTTTTATGTACACACTGGAATATGGAATTAAAAATTCATCATCAGGTATATTCAAAATCAATAAAATAACGACTATATTCGTTATAAAATATTAAAATAACGGCTACATTAATAACCTAAGAAATCATATAAAAACAAATAAATATAAATAATAGGTAAAATAAAATTATTATTAAGTATTATAAATAAGTATAATAAATATAAATAAATTTCTACTCCAAGCTAAGCATTATTATTTTTATTTATTTATTTATTTATATATTAAATAAAAATCGTAGAGCTACACATTATCACTGAATTTGTATATCATTTTAATTTTAAATAGTACAATTATCAAAAGATTTTTTCAAGCTATTTGAAGAAAATTGAAACTGACACGTTTTTTAGCTTTTAAACAAACATGTCTATAAAATAATTTTAGTTCAACAAAAAGTCTTGAAAATTAGTGATGATCAAAATTGGTCTTGGTTTTGCGGTCTCGCAAGACTCTTGCTGCCAACAAAAAAATAAGGTTCATAATATTTAAATGCGGGTTGAGGGCGATGAGGATTCTTACATTACTGTGTACCAGTACACGTGTATAATAGTCACACTTGTCCATATGAGTACAGAATACGCATTAAAATTAATAAATTCGAGGGTGAATTCATGAACAATTTCTTACGTATTATAATTTGTGAGTGTTTTTTAAAAAGAATAAGAATCTATAGTAAATTTAGTTGAATGAAATAAAATTCAAAATCAAATCAATAATATATGTACGTTTTGCGAAAAATATGGTTCATACGAAGAACGTTAAACGCACGTTTTTTAGTCATTGTTCATATGAATTAAGAATTTTATGCGTGTGTGAATAAAGGTAAAGCGAGGGACCACTTGGTAAGACCAAAAACCAAAAAATTAATTAAATTTGTAACATACACCTGAAGTTCACCGTATAGGCAAATTAACGTGCCGTTGCCTGACGGATATAGAATAGGCAACTTAATGTGCACAACGACGACGACGGGATGGGAGACAGTGACTTAAACTTAACACGGGAATGTTGATATTGAGTTTAGTTATAAGGGGGGGAGTCTCTGTGGTCGGATTGGTATGGTACAATGACCACAGAGCTCACAAAAAATCGGAAAAAGACCTTATTAACTAAACACTCAAATCACAACTTAAAATACGTGACGACTATGGTAACTGCAATGGTAACTGGTAACTCTCAAGGACCGTGGCGGCCTCACACACCACCCAATGGCTGGCGGACTTACACAGAGGTGAAGGCGTACACTACCGAAGTGTTTCGACGATGACCAAAATATTGACTGGTCTCACAGAGTGGAGACACGACGAAGAAGACAAAACAAAAGGTGACACGTACTAATAATATTTAAATAACTCACGCAACGCAGATCTGGTTATGGTAATGTTTTGATTTATTAATTATGATTTTTCACTAATAATAATAATAATAATACTAATAAACGTCCGCATTAATTACGGGACGGCGCGGCGATAAAAGTACGCGACAACGTATTTTTTTTTTTTTTTTTATTTATTATAATTAAATGTTTCAGCATATTGCATGCTATTACAAGTTTGTAAAAGTTAAGATTACGGTTTATACAAATAGAATATGGAATGGGATTGTAGATAATTTTAATGGGGTTTGTTGATAAAAGATTTAATATTGGAAATAATGACTGCTATGGGAATATTGTTGTTAATTTGCTTAAAATTACAGTTATCAGAGAAACTAATGGATTAAATAATATTTTGAGTTCGTTCAAGATGTTTGACGTTGAATTTGAATTTGAATTTGTAGTACTGGATATTGGTTGGGCGGCTGTTACAATGGCATATGACGGACCGGACGGGGGAGCGTGCGATGCATGACGACGTGAGGTGGCTTGTCGTTTAGGAATTTCTGTCTTTTTTGGTTTGTTTGTTGATTTTGTCAGTCGCGACAACGTAGATTTAGTAGGTATATAAAAAGAGGTGTTGACTAATTGGCGTAAGACAAATGAAATAATAAAAAAAACTATATATGTTTTGTGTCCTTAATGAACGACAAAAAGATCGACAAAAAAACAATGTGTTACCTTAGTGGCGAACTGCGAACGACAGACAGAAGAAAAAATAGTAATAAATATCAAATACGTAATATAATAAAGGGCATTGGCGGTTATGTAATAAGTAGAATAATTCACTAATCTGCATAATTCATTAACAAAGATAATACAAAATTAACGAGAGACAATAATAATAAATAAATAAGACAATAATCAACGAACACATACTAATTAAAATTCACACAGACGGAAGATTAGGAAGGTGGACACAGATAAGGACAGGTCGACGCCGTCGTGGTTGCAATTATGATAATAATAATAATAATAAAAAGAAGACTACGTGTACAGCCCGTAAACAATGCCTTTATACGCAAGTCAATCATTTTAGTATATCGTCGAAGAAGGACGTTACAGAAGCTAAATACTTATGGATCTTATTAAGAAAAAGGCACAGAAATAGAAGATATTGTATTTCTTTACTATTTATTGTATATCCCGCTGACGAACTGACGTCGTGAAGTCGCCATGCGTATAAAGTGATTTCATTCGTTAGCACTACGGAACTCCGACGACCCGTGCTTCCGCGGATTTTTGAAGGACAGTAGCAAGTAAAGTCTCAGCTGTCAACCTAAGGCGAAACAAAAA